CCTCCTCGTCCTGCTCTTCCTCCTCCTCCTCCTCCTCCTCCTCCTCCTCCTCCTCCTCTCCTCCGCGGCCTTGGCGTTGGAGCTGGCGTGGGCGTAGGCGCTGACGTCCGAGCTGGCGTCGGAGGTCCCGGCAGTGTTGGCGTCGGAGATGGCGCCAGTGCTGGCGTAGGCGCTGGCGTCGGTGCCGGCGCAGGCGCCATACTTCTCGGCCTCCTGGGCCTTGGCGCTGGAGCTGGCGTAGGCGTAGGCGTTGGCGTCCGAGCTGGCGTCGGAGGTCCCGGCGGTGCTGGCTTCGTAGCTGGCGTTGGAGCTGGCGTAGGCGCTGGCGTTGGTGCCGGTGTGGGCGCCATCCTTCGCGTCCTCCGCGCCCTTGGCGTTGGAGCTGGCGTAGGCGTGGGCGCTGGCGTCCGAGCTGGCGTCGGAGGTCCCGGCGGTGCTGGCCTCGGGGATGGCGCCGGTGCTGGCGTAGGCGCTGGCGCCGGTGCCGGCGCAGGCGCCGAACTTCTCGGCCTCCTGTGCCTTGGCGTTGGAGCTGGCGTGGGCGTAGGCGCTGGCGTCCGAGCTGGCGTCGGAGGTCCCGGCGGTGTTGGCGTCGGAGATGGCGCCAGTGCTGGCGTAGGCGCTGGCGTCGGTGCCGGCGCAGGCGCCGTACTTCTCGGCCTCCTGGGCCTTGGCGTTGGAGCTGGCGTAGGCGTAGGCGTTGGCGTCCGAGCTGGTGTCGGAGGTCCCGGCGGTGCTGGCTTCGTAGCTGGCGTTGGAGCTGGCGTAGGCGCTGGCGTTGGTGCCGGTGTGGGCGCATTCTTCCTCGGCCTCCGCAGCCTCCTCGACCACTGCTTCCGTCTTCGCCTCCGCGTCCTCCTCGTTCTCCTCCAGGTAGGCGCCGGTGCTGGCGTCCGAGCTGGCGTCGGCGGTCGTGGCAGTGCTGGCGTCGAAGCTGGCGTTGGTGCTGTCGTGGGCGCTGGCGTAGTTGCCGGCGTAGGCGCGTTCCTCCGCGGCCTCCTCCTCTGCTGCCGTCGTCGCCTGCTCGACCTCCTCGTCCTTCCGAGCCTTGGCGTTGGGGCTGGCGTAGGTGCTTGCGCTGGCGTCTGGTCTGACGTCCGAGCTGTCGTCGGTGGTCGAAGCAGTCCTGGCGTCGGAGGTGGCGCTGGTGCTGGCGTATGCGCTGGCGTTGGTGCCGGCGTAGGCGCTTTCCGCCTCAGCCTCCTTAGCTTCCTCGTCCGCTGCCGTCGTCGTCGCCTCCTCGTCCTCCGCGTCCTCGTCCGCCTTGGCCGTGGGGCTGGCGTAGGCGTAGATGCTGGCGTCCGAGCTGGCGTCGAAAGTAACCTCCGTGCCGGCGTCTGGGCTGGCGTTGGTGCTGGCGCTAGTGCCTGCGTAGGCGCATTCCTCCTCGGCCGCCTCAGCCTCCTCCTCCCCTGCTGCCGTCGCCGCCTCCTTGTCCTCCTCGCCCTCAGCCTCGGTGTTGGGGCTGGCGTAGGCGTAGGCGCTGGGGCCCGGGGCTGGCGTCGGGGGTCGTGGCCGTGCTGGCGTCTGGTCTGGCGTTAGTACTGTCGTCGTCGCTGGTGTTGGTGTCGGCGTAGGCGCATTTTTCCTCGGCCTCCTGAGCCTCCTCCTGCTCCTCTTCCGCTGCTGCCGCCGTCTCCTCCCCGTCCTCTGGGCTGCCGTCGTGGTGGTGCTCGCCGTGTACGCCGGGTGCTCCGTGTGGTGCCGCTGGCTGAGTCTGCGTTGTTGTGCGTAGTGCTGCTGGTCGCCGTCGTAGCGGTTCTGGTGGCGCTGCGGCTAGCTGCGGTCGCTGTGCTCGCTGTGGTGTTGGTCGTTGGGCGTTTGCTGTGGCGGCGTGCGGTGCTGCTGGTCGCCAGCGCGGTGCACCTCGTCGTGGCCGGCACGGTGCTCGCCGCCGTGGCGTTGGTGGCCCCTGTCGTTCTGCTGGTGGTCTCTGTGGTGCCGCTCTCCGGGCTGGCGTTGCTGCTCGTGGCGCAAGGCCGGGGCCGACGTGCTCCCCGCGCAGGCCGGCTCGCGCCATTTCTTTGTCTGCCTCTGGCCTTCTGTGTGGTCTCTGCGGTGGCTGGCCGGAGCGCGTCCGCCAGCCGGTGGGCGAGAGCTGGGCGCGGTGCTGCTCGCCTGGCTGTGCGCTCCTCCCGTGGCTCTCTACTGCCTCCTCCGCCTCCTCAGCTGCCTTGGCTGTTGGGGCGTGCTGCGGCCGCGTCTGGCGGTGCTGTTGCGGCCGCGGTGGCGTCTGCTGCGGCTGTGCTGGCGCCCTCTCGCTCTCTTCAGCCTCCCGCGCCCTCCTCTGGAGCGCGGCCTGCAGCCGGCGCTCCGCGAACCTGTCAGCCAGGAAGCTCTGCCGCTGCTGGAAGGCCTCCTCGCGCGCCACCAGTGCACCATGCTCGGCCAGCGCCATCTCCCAGGCTGCCTTCGCCAGCCGCCGCGCGGCCCTCTGGCGGCGTCGGCGCGGGCCCCGGCGAGCGGAGGGTGGCCCGAGCGGCGCCCTACCCTTCTCGCCTGCGCCTTGCCGCGTCTCCTGTCGTCGCTGCTGTGTCTCCTCTGCCTCTTCCTCCTCCCTCGCCTCCTCGTCCTCTGCCTCTTCGTCTCCCTTTGTCTTCCTGGGCTCCCTTGCCCCCTTCGGCCCTCTCGCTGCTGGCGGCCTCTGCCTGGTAAGCCGTCTAAGCCGCTGCTGCAGCTCCTGCTCCCGTCGCCGCTCCTGGCCTTCTCGCGCGCTCCTCTTGCGCCTGCGCTGCGCGATTGTCCAGAGGCCCGGAGGCGGCCCTGGGTCCTGCGGCAGCGCGCGCCAGCGGCCCGCCGTGGCCTGCCTCTCTCTGCGGGCTCTGCGGCTCCTGTGCGGCCTCCGCGTCATCTCGTCCTCCTTCTCCTCCTCAGCCTCCTCAGCCTCCTCAGCCTCCTCAGCCTTGTCGTCTTCCTCGCGGCGCCTTGCCTCCTCTGCCTCGTGTGCCTCCTCGGGCGCTCCCTTACACCTCCTGCCGCAAGCCTCCTTGCCTTCCTCTGGTCCTGCCTCTCTCCTGTTGCGCCCTCCAGTGCGTCTCTTTCTGCTCCACCTTGGGCGCCTGCTCCTCTCGTCGCGCCTGGCCCCCTCTGTCTCCTGAGCCGGCTTTGCGTCGCTCGGCTGCGCGGCCTCGTCCTGCGCTTCGGCCCGGCGTGTTGTCGGCTCCTGCTGCGCCGCCTCCGCCTCCTGCTGCTCGTGCTTCGGTCGCCTCCCTTCGCCCTGGGCACCCCTTGTGCCCCTGGCGTCGGCGCAGAAGCCCGAGCCTCCTGGCGAAGGCGCCATGCCGGCGCGCGCGCGCGCCCAGCGCCTCGAGCCTCGAGCCTCGCGCCCAGCGCCTCGAGCCTCGACCCTCGTAATTCCGTCTTGGGAGTTCATTGGCGTCGCTTAGCGTGTGGTAATCAGTGAGATTGCGCCGCTTTAGCGTCGATCAGCGCCGATTCGCGTTAATTGGCGTCGGTTAGCTTCGAATCTTCGATTCGATTCGCAAGAGCCAACAAGATGGTATGGGAGGCTTCCATGACTTGCCGCTGAATGCTCATTTCGGCCTCCGGGGGCCCTCGCCGGGCCACAGAATCGTCATAAAAAAGCGGCCTGGGATGAGAAATTGGCCCTGGGGAAAGTGAGGGACCCAAGGGGGCCCTTCTATCGACCAGACCTATACATCGCATGTCTGCTGATTGAGATCCTGGCGTTTCATCCTTTTTCGAGCGGGGCGTTTTCGCCCTGTTTCGGGCCCCAAGGTTCTGGCCAACGGCCCGTCTCGAAAATTGACGCAGGAAGAAGACTGCATCCACAGGAGTTTGGCCGTGACTGTTTTGTTTCACGATGCCGCAATTCTTCGCTACGTCGGATCTCAGGGGAGGGAGATGGGAGTTCCCCGAGGTTGCCGGATAGTTTCCAGTGTCCGCGGGGCTTGTCGGGGCTCAGGATGATTTCATCAGCTGCGCGAGTCGTGTGCAGGGGCGTTCTTGGGATGCGAGGATCGTTTCGAACGGCCGCCCGAGGCCAGGTCTGAGGCGTTCCAGGAAGGTCAGCCACGCGCAGAGGGGAGGTTGGAAAAGGGGGGTGGGCGTCTCGGAGTCACCCCCTGCTTCTCAGAAGGCGCGGGCCGTTTCCAGAAGTGTAAGGCTGGCGACTTCTGAAACGTAGCCCCCTTATAAGAAGCCCTCCCCCCCTCCCTCAGCCCCCCGTGTGCGCGCGCCGCCAGCCAGGGCTGAAGCGTTCCTGAAAAGGGGCTCGCCCTCGAGGGTCGAAGGGGAGTTTTCGCCCTCTGACCTCGGCGGAGGGCGGCGGGAGGACCGCGGAGGGCCGCGGAGGCCGCCTCCGCTGGCGGGAGGCCCGCGGGAGGCCGGCGGACGTAGAACATGGGCCCCCAAGAGGAGCCCCCCCCCCCCCCTCGAGGCCCCTCCCGAGGGCTCCTCCCGAGGGCCCCTCCCGAGGGCCCCTCCCGAGGGCCCCTCCCGAGGGCCCCTCCCGAGGGCCCCTCCCGAGGGCCCGCCGAGAGGCCCCCCGAGAGGGCCCCCCGGGGGCCCTCGGGGGCGGGGGCCACCGGGGGCAGGGTTCCCAGACCACCTCGAGTCATGAAAGAAAACGACATCGGGTTGTTGTTATTTTCAGCTTCTGGGAGCCCTTACAGGCCTCGGGGCCGTTCAAAACGGCTGAAGAGATTAAGACCCGGTCCCAGAGAGTGGGTCGAGACTTCTGGGGGTCGACGTTGTGAAAAGTCATGATGTCGGGGGCTTGGGATTCAAGAATCGGCCACTGATCGCCCGAAAAGCGTCGCTGGTGTCGGGGGCGGCAAAGAGGGGGGTGATGACTGGGGCAGGGTGGATACCATGGCGGGGGCCATGATATCTCCCCAGATTTCATGGCGCCTCCTCTTCTTTCAATGCGTCCCCGGCCCATCCCTGGGCCGCGCACATGCCGTTTTCCATGATTTGCGCCCCCCCCTCCTCTTGGACGCCCCCCTCTTGGACGCCCCTTCCGGTGGGAGCCCGCCGAGGAGGCGGAGCAGCTCTTTCGAAAGATGCTGAGGGACGACGAGCGCAGCGCCCAGGAGGACGCTCGCGGCACGGAGGGCGCCGGCGCCTGACGCAGGCGCCTTGCGGCACGAGAAAGCCCTACGGTCGTATCGAGGTATAAGATCCAGGTCGGCTCGGGGAGAGTTCCCTAATGCTCTTCGTGCTTGTTGGATGTTCCTGTGTATCCTGGGAGGGGGTCCCTCGAATGTTCGTCAGTTTGGCTGGGGGAGGGTCTCATGTTCTTGGAGGATGTTATTACGTTCTAGGCCCGGCTGTAGTTCGGGGGTCACCGAAACCAGAACCCCCTCGGGTCATGGAAACAGCACGGCGGGACCTTTTTTGGGAGCGCGTTCTTCATTGAGCTCAAGCAAGTTAGTTTGCACTGGATTTTGGCCATTCTGCCTCCCACTCCTCCTCCTCCTCCTCCTCCTCCTCCTCCTCCTCCTGCTCCTCCTCCTTCTCCTCTTCCTCCTCCTCCTCCTCCTCCTCCTCCTCCTCCTCCTCCTCCTCCTCCTCCTCCTCCTCTCCCCCCCCTCCGCTGATGAAATCATCAAGCGCGTTTCACGATGCGTAAAGTGCCTAACCTCGCAAACGCTCGAACAACACATGATTGCCTCGATGTCGTGGATCGTAAAGCGGATTCAGGACATTTGCGAGTAGATAGTTTTGGGAGTAGTGGAGCGCTCTCGTCTATGAAACAAACTGCTGCAAGGCCGAACCGGAGTGCAATTGAGTTCCGACCTGCGCGAACTCCAGAGGCCCTCGTCACGACCCCCTCCTCCAACGTCGTGCAGGGAAACTTGCCAGAGCCTAAACATAGACTGCCTCTGGCCATTTTCGGCCCGTGGTGGCCATCGCTGGACGTCTGGGGTCTGTGGAGGTTCAGCGGAGGAAGGAAACAGCATAAGCATGGACTTTCGGAGCTCTGCGCGCGTTTCTTGGATCGGCGCTGAACCTCCCTGGCGGCGCCTCTGGCGCCGCCCCCGACGCGCTCGAGCGTACAGCGCCAGCTCTGAAAGTGCACATCTGCTTCCACAGTTTTTTCGTCCCCCTGGCCGAGGTGGACGATCGCCCCGAGTGACGTGGTCGTGAGAGCTTCCGCGGCGGCGATGTGCGGCCGCGGGCGCCGTCAGAATTGAAGGACGCCGTCGTCGCCTGGCGGCGGCCTTCCCGACTCGGCGTGAGCTTGGCTGCGGGCCGCTCCTCCGCTCGCGTGCGGCAGCGGCAAGCGCACCCGTGTCCATGGGCGGGCGGGCCGGGCCACTGGGCCACGACCTCCCGCGGCCACGGAGCGCGTTGTTCGCGGATGCCCCGCATGGAACGCATCAGTGCGACCTCGTACCCACGGGATCGCGCTCGGGAATCTCGACCGCGAGGGCGTGGATATGAGGAGGAGGAGGAGGAGGAGGAGGAGGAGGAGGAGGAGGAGGAGGGGGAGGAGGGGGAGGGAGGAGGAGGAGGAGGAGGAGGAGGAGGAGGAGGAGGAGGAGGAGGAGGAGGAGGGGGATGGACACGTTCGCCGCTCGTGATCCACGGGTGCGTGGGCTTCTTCTCGAGGGCCGGGGTGCCCTGTTGCGAGGGGGAGCAGTCGGAGGAGAGGGCTTCAGGCGCTCACGCGCTGCCCTGCGAGCACGTCGCTTCTCCGAAGCCGCCCCGCGTCGCGACGCACGACCACGCCGAATGCACTGGTGGCCCCCAGCTCCTCATCCTCCTGCTCATTCTCTCTGGATGTGTTCTCGGCCACCGATCTTCGATCATCCTTGATCTCCCCTCCCTCGGCCTTTCCATCCTCATCCAGGATCGCTATCGCGGTCGACAGAGCAGGCGAGTACTGAAAAGGCACCGGGCGGATCGCCCTGCTGAGGAAGAGGGCGTCCTGCCCATCGCCATGCTCAGACCCCGATGCCCCAGGCATCTCGACCACCTCCTGGAGACCGCTAGTTCGTCCCAGAGCGCTTATCCCACGGCCCAAGCAGCGCGAGGCTGGAAACCTGAGGCGCCGAAGACGACGAAACACCTCTGTCCTGATGTTGTCTAGGTTGTGGGAGGTCTGGGATTCCAGGGAAGATACGCGCTGACCAGGACCAGGATGTCACGGAATCTTGGCGACGCCGATCTGGGTCATAGTCCATGCCGGCGGCTGCCGATTCGCGAGGATGATCCACGAATGGACGATGACCCAGAAGGGCGCTGGCCAAGGTGGACACCGCCGCTTCCGCGCTGAGTCTTGGGCATGGCCCTCGCCTTCCCTCCCTCCATGGGGTCTCTCGACCGCGCAGGCGCGCCCCTGCAGGATCACCCCTTCGGGAAATCACCGAGCGCGCGCTCCACGAACGCGCTCCACGTCCGAACAACGTAAACACATGCTTGCTCCGATGTGATACATCGTAACCCCCCCCGCGGCGGATCCAGGCCACTTGCGAGCAGCTGCGTCGCGAGTCGTGGAGCACGCCCGTCTGGGAGCGGGGGCGGGGGCGCCACGGGCAGCCTATGCCTCGGAGGGCCAAGCGCCCGCACCTCGGCGCCGCTGGCGCGGCGGCCCCACCACGGGGGCGTCGGCCGCGGCGTCCTGGGCGCCGGGGCGGTGTGGAGGTCGACATCTCGGTTGGTGGGCGAAGAACTCAAGCAGTGGCGAGGCGTCCTGGGGTGCCTGTAGGCCTACCAAGCAATGCTCTAAGAGCCTTGTGTGGTTTCCACGACATGTTCTCAGAACATGTCTGGCTTGGCCTGTCTTGTTTCAACACATCGGGGTTATGTTCTAAGAACACATTATTGGGTTCTACGAACATGTCGTGGTAGGCCTATAGGAATGCTGGGACGGTCGGTTCCTGCTGAAATCTCAGTTGGCGAGCGAAGAACGGGATGCGCCGTCGGGGACGCTCGTCCCTGGGCGGCTTGAAAGTTTAATGTATACCCCTACGGTGGCGCGTCATGGTATAAATTTTCCAGGCGGCCTTGGACAGGCGCTCCCGGTGACGGACAAATCTTATATTACACTGTTTTTCGCCCGCTAACGTAGGGCTTCAGCTGTCCTGATATGCACGTGTTCGAACTCAGAGGAGGAAACGGTACCCATGCCGCTACCCTTGCCTCGTTTTGGTTCTTGTTGGGCATCCTGTCTGGGAGGCCCTCGTCGCCACCGCTGGATTCGCCTCGAAATTCTGGTCAGAACGCACCCCCGGAGAGGTCCGGGGTTTAGCGGTATCGGTACCTTTGGGTTTCCCCATTCTTTGTCTTGATACGCACGCGTTGGAACCCAAGACGTACCGTGTTCAAAGCGTACGTGTTAACACGTTGCGTGTTGGCTCGGCACGTGTTGGGTCACGTTCCGGCAAAGCTCTATCGTTCGAGACCTACGTTTTCAATCCATGCGTTGAGCTCCGTGTCAACACGCTGCGGCTTTCCGTGCTGCGTATCGGGGCAGCTAAACTCAGGGCCCCGCAAACGGGGACAGTCATGAGCAAGGCCATTGGCACGCCAGAGAAAGTTGCAGCCGCAGGTCCAAGCCTTCTCCCTGCCTCGTTTTCTCCAGGCGGTATCTTCAACGGCCAGGTCGGCAACCCTGGCCTCAGGGGGGCCCCGAGCACTGTTGGGGGGACGGAAGGCATCAGCGGAGGGAGGGAGGGCGGCGCAGACTTCGGCGGGGCGCCGCCCTGCTTTTCCCTGGCTCCGCCCGCTGTGCGAGGGGGCGCGCAGCGGGACAGCCGCGAGTGTACCAGTTTTCCTTTCCATCGCCGCCCTTTTTGTCAACTAGCGGAGGGCGTAGCTGCGGGCGCGTGCTGGGGGCTCACGAACAGGAGAAACAGCGACCAGCGGTGCGCGTGCGTGTTTCTGTATGCCGTGGCGTGCACGCATAGTGTGTGTAGTGTGTGTGTGTGTGCGTGTGTGTATATAGGGTTCGTGGGTGGATGGCTGGGCGGGTGGGTGGGTGGGTGGATATGTTGTGTATGTGCGTGTGTTTGTTTGTTTGTGTGTGTGAGCTGGCCGGGCCGTCCCCTCCCGCTGGGCATTCTCAACGGCACTCCGTCTCCGCCTCCCGCGCCTGCCGATGTCTTCGGCAGCGTGGAGGCTGCGCCGAGATCTGCGAGGCGCGGTTGGTCTCGTCCCCTCTCGCGTGGTCCTCCGCAGGGTTGCGTCGAGGCTACTTGCGGGGCATGCGGCATGCCCCGTCGGGGCTATCTCCGACTTGCTATGTTGGAACGATCCCGCCCTTCTTGTCTCTCTTTCTTGTCTTCGTCCCAGCTGTTGCTGCCCTTGGTGGCCATGTGTCTGATCCTAGGGTTTCGCGTCGACGCTGCGCAGGGCGCCCCCGAGGGAACGGTGCGTGCGCGTGCCTGTTCGTCTCGTGCGCGCGTTTGTGCGTGAGGGGAGAGGGGGAGAGAGAGAGAGGGATGGAGAGGCTCAGAGGGAGGGGAAGGTCGGCCATCGACGCCCCCAGGCCGCTGGGGCGGAAGGCGGTCTAGAACACGCCTACTTCAACATCGGGCTTGGTGCTCCCTTGAGGCGTCTGGCGGCCGAGGTGCCCGGAGGGCTCCACGCAACTCTGGAGGCCCAGAGGCGTCGAACCCAGACTCGACCCTCGTTCTTCGGTGCGATGGCAAGAGCACCTGGCACAGTTGGGCGACGTAATCTGACACCCTTGCGGCAGAAGACCCTAAACAGTTATCCACAGCTCCGGTTGGGGTCACGACGGGAGGGCACGATGGAGGGTCACGATGGGAGGCCACGATGGGGGATCGGGACAGAGATTGGTGGGGTAGAAATATGGACAGGGAGATAGGGATAGGGATGCAAGGATAGGGAAGTGGGCATAGGGATAAGTATCGGGATGGGAATGGGATATAGATAGTGACGGCGATCGGAGACCGCGGGAGGCAACGGGACGCCGCGGGAAGCAACGGGAGGCAATGGGAGGCAACGGGAGGCCACGGGAAGCCCAACCTATTCCGCATCCGGCAACGCATTCGCTCTTAGTTTCTCAGAACAGATTTGCAGTTGCCTGCGGTAAGTCTCGCCACCGTGCCGGCCCGGCATTCTGGGTGGCGACTGTCACCTGTGGCATTTCGTGTCTCCAGGCTTGGAAGACCCGTGTCGTTGTTGATGATGATGATGCTGATGCTGATGCTGATGCTGATGCTGATGCTGAAATTGATGCTTATGATGATGTTGATGATGATGGTGGTGATAATGACGACGGTGATAGCGGTGGTGGTAGTGGTGATGATGATGATGTTGATGACGACAATGTTGCTGATGATGCTTATGCTGATGATGATGATTACGACGTGGTTGCTGTCAATGTTGATAGTGATGATGGCCGTGGTGACGATGCTGATGCTGATGATGATGGTGATGAGATGATGCTGACGATGCTGGCGATGATGACGATGCTGATGACGATGATGACGGTGATAATGCTACTGATGATGATGGTGATCATGATGACGGTGATGGTTGTGGTGGTGGTGATGGTGGCAGCGGTAGTGATAATGTTGATGACATTGATGATGGTAACGTTGTTGATGATGTTCATGCTGATGATGATGCTGCTGCTACTGATTACGATGTGGTTGCTGCTATTAGTGATGATGGTGGCTCTGGTGGCAATGATAATGGTGATGATGATCTGATGCTGGCGATGCTGATGATTCTGATGACGATGATGATGCTGATGCTGATGCTGATAATGCTGATGTGATGGTGGTGATGCTGATGCTGATGATGCTGCTGATGATGATGATGATTACGGTGCTGTCGTTGTCGATGATGAAGAAGAATATGTCTGTGATGGTGATGCTGATGACGCTGCTGAGGATGTTGGTGATCATGATTGTGATGGTGATGCTGATTATGATGATGACGACGGTGATGACGATGCTGATGATGACGATGATGATGATGACGATCACGACGACGATAATAATGATGATGATGTTGCTGATGCTGATGATGATGGTGATGATGATGCTGAGGATGATGATGACGATGATCATCATGATGACGATGACGATGATGTCGACGCTGATGATGATAATGATGTTGATGATGCTCCTGCTGATGACGATGGTTATGGTGTTGTTGAGGATGAGCAGGAGGAGGAGGAGGAGGAGGAGAAGGAGGAGGACAAATAGGAAGGCAGTCGCATGTGTCACTGTACGCCTGAACTATGTGAAGATCTGCCATGGAACTCGTTTGTGCCGTCTTCGGGCTGTTTTGGCCTCCTGTGACGCAGCCTTGGGGGGAGCCTCGGGGCCGTCTTGGCCCTCGTACGTCGTCTTAGGGTCTTCGGGGTCTCTTGGGCCGTCTTGAGGCCCACTGGGTCGTATGGTGGGTGTCTCGGGGCCATCGTGGGGCCGTCTTGGTGCTATCTTCGGCCGTCTCGGGGCCTTCTAAGGCCGTCTTGGGTCCCATGGGAGGTGCGGTTAGGGTATTCACAAGAACCAAGCGGGCCTTTAAAAACATCGAGAGGCTCGTGTTGCGGAAGGCAAGGGTTGTTTTTAAAGGCCCAGCCGTCGTGTTGCGGAAGGCTCGGACGGTTTGGGAAGGCGGGGCCGCGTGTTGCGGAAGGCCCGGACGGTTTGGGAAGGCCAGTTCCCGTGTGGCGGAAGGCCCGGCTAAATTGTTAAGGCCCGCCTTCGTGTTGCGGAAGGCCTGGACGGCTTGGGAAGGCCCGGCCGTCGTGTTGCGGAGGGCCCGGACGGTTTGGGAAGACGGGGCCGCGTGTTGCGGAAGACCCAGATGGTTTGCCAAGGTTGGCCGTCGTGTTGCTGAAGGCTCGGACGGTTTGGGAAGGCCCGGCCGCGTGTTGCGGAAGGCCCGGACGGTTTGGGAAGGTCTGGTTCCCGTGTTGCGGAAGGCCCAGTTGGTTGCGGAAGGCCCGTTGTCGTGTTGCGGAAGGCCCGTAGTGTTGGGGAAGGCCCGCGCGCGTGTTGCGGGAGGTCCTGCTTGTTTGTGAAGGCCCGGTTGCGTGTGTGCGAAGGCCCGGACAGTTTGGGAAGACCCGTCCCCAATCTTGACGAGGACGCGACAAGCCCAGACCTCCGATGTTTTGGAATGTCCAAGACTTGGTCGAGCTTTTCCCAAGGACGAGATTTGCATACTGAATCGTTTTTTGCCGGTCCCCGAACCCGTGGAGGGCCCCTGGGGGCGGGAAACAAATAAGGAAAACCAAGAACCGTTCCCGTGTTGCGGATGGCCCGGTCGGTCGCGGAAGGTCCGTTCCTGCGTTGCGGAAGGCCCGGACGGATTGCGAAGGCCCGGCCGCGTGATGCGGAAGGCCTGGACGGTTTGGGAAGGCCAGGCCCGCCCCGCGTTGCGGAAGGTCCGGCCTTTTTGTTGCAAGCCCGGATCAGTGTTGCGGAGGGCACGGATGTTTTGGGAGCGGCTACGTGTTGCGGAAGGCCTGGATGCTAAATGTTCAATCCCGCACGTTAAACCCTAAGTTCCACACCTTATGCCTAAAGACCCATTCTGACACCCTAAGATCCTAAGACCCTCAGACCCTAAGACCCTAAGACTCTCAGCCCTTAAGACTCTAAGGCCCTTAGACCCTAAGACCTTTAGACCCTAAGACCCTACGAACCTACGACCCAGAGACCCTACGACCCTGCGACCCTACGACCCTACGACACTATGACCCTAAGACCATAAGACCAAAAGACCCGAAGATTTTTCCCTACCTAGGCTCTGCCTAGAAGGGTTCTTACTCTCTAGCTTAAAGGGGCCGGGCAATGGAAACCGCCCCGGGCGGTTCCCCCAGTCCCCGCCCCGCGGTTCCCCCAGTCCCCTGGGAGCTTTAGCCTTAGCTTTAGCTTTAGTTTAGCTTTAGCCTTAGCCTTAGCTTTAGCTTAGTGTTAGCTTAGCTTCAGCTTAGTGTTAGCTTAGCTTTAGCTTAGCTTCAGCTTAGTGTTAGCTTAGCTTCAGCTTAGCTTCAGCTTAGCTTCAGCTTAGCTTTAGCTTAGCTTCAGCTTAGCTTTAGCTTAGCCTTAGCTTAGCTTTGGCTTAGCTTTAGCTTAGCTTTAGTTTAGCTTTAGCTCAGCGTTAGCTTAGCTTTAGCTTAGCTTTAGCTTACTGTTAGCTTAGCTTTAGCTTAGCTTTAGCTTAGCTGTAGCTTAGCTTCAGCTTCTTGTTAGCTTAGCTTTAGCTTAGTGTTAGCTTAGCTTCAGCTTAGCTTTAGCTCAGCTGTAGCTTAGCTTTAGCTTAGCTTTAGCTTAGCTGTAGCTGAGCTTTAGCTTAGCTTCAGCTGAGCTTTAGCTTAGCTTTAGCTTAGCTTTAGCTTAGATTTAGCTTAGATTTAGCTCAGCGTTAGCTTAGATTCAGCTTAGCTTTAGCTTAGCGTTAGCTTAGCTTTAGCTTAGCTTCAGCTTAGCTTTAGCTTAGCTTTAGCTTAGCTTTAGCTTAGCTTTAGCTTAGCCTTAGCTTAGCTTTAGCTTAGCTTTCGCGTAGCTTCAGCTTAGCTTTAGCTTAGCGTTAGCTCAGCTTTAGCTTAGCTTTAGCTTAGCTTTAGCTTAGCTTTAGCTTAGCTTTAGCTTAGCTTTAGCTTAGCTTTAGCTTAGCTTTAGCTTAGCTTTAGCTTATATTTAGCTTTAGCTCTAGCTTTGCTTTAGCTTAGCTGTAGCTTAGCTTTAGCTTTGCTTTAGCTTAGCTTCAGCTTAACGTTAGCTTAGCTTTAGCTTAGTGTTAGCTTAGCCTTAGCTTAGCTTTAGCTTAGCTTTAGCTTAGCTTCAGCTTAGCTTTAGCTTAGCTAGTTTAGCTTTACTGTTACTACTAATACTGCTTTCCTAGGGGCTCCAACTCCTAG